ATATATATATATATATACATATATATATACAATATATATATATATATTTTAAACTCTAAATAATCAAATTTGCCTAAGACTGAAAAAGAATAATAATAAATAAACTTTGGGTCAATTTTATTATATAGATTTGATTTATAGGTTGCAAATGGTCTTCAATAACTATATACAGCATATGCTTCATAAAAATATATTTAAAAAAAAATGATTAGTTGTAATACTTTAGTTAAAATTTTAGTTCTGGAAATGAAAGAAAATAATAATGATAGAAAATATATATAAAATAAAATCTTAAAGATGAAAAAGATATAGATCTCTGTATATATGATTGTGTTCATATCACTATATAGATGATTACCGTCTGTTTTCTCAGGTACACAAGCAGCACTGTCTAGATCATTCCTCTGAGTGGACATACTGTCTGACTTCGAGGGTAATTTATGCAAAGTTGTATTAATAACGAATTTATAATTTGCACTTTCTTGCACATCACCAGAAGACCTCAAAATATTTGCGTTTCTTTGTAACTCATTTCGGTCGGTGTTTGTGTTGAACGATGACGCTGTTGGAAAAACCGTAGGCGTCCTGTCCGAATTTAAACCGATATTGTCGGAACAATCGGTTGCCTCTTTGATTAGATTCTTCCACTGTGTACTAAGTACCTTCGCGTTCGATATTTCCCCTTTCAACGGCTCAAACACTTGCTGAATCGTATTATTTACATCACATCGTTCATTTGACACGATACCCGTATCATTCTCGGATGCCATCTTGATTTTCTAAGCAATATCCTGGGTGCAAAGATACTACGCGACGTCTGATTGGTTTATCTATAGCCGCCTTTCGAACTTAGGTAATTCTATTCGTTTGAAGCGCGTGGTAAAGAAGAGGCTTGGCCAATTGAATAGTTGCTAATATCGAAGGACATTTTTACTCATTGAAACCTTCGATAATCTTCGATCATTAATTTATTTTTTTATTAGATATTGTTACAAGTATAAGTATTTTGAAGCACGTATTTCATTTTAATATCTTTCACTTTCATTCATATTTCATTGATTGATGTAATCATTTAATATACATGTTTAAACATAAGCTACTTACTGTGTTTTACTCAGCTTGACATTAAAAAATAAAAATAGTACAATATTATTAGTATGAGAGAGAAAAGTTATTATATACTTTTGCAAACTATCCAATATAAAATAAGTACCGAATAGAAAGTATCACAAATCATTTTATATGTATTTTTTCAAAATATTTAACTAAATCTAGTTACTTTTGCAGTTTACTTTGGAGTCACATTAAAATAACTATATTATAAGATAATAATTGCATTATAATAGATTAAAGCCATATAAAGTGAAGATTAAATTCTTAACGTTGATTGGTTATCTTGACTGCAATACACTAGATTACACTAGAGTACACTAGACTAAAAAAGTGTTAAGTTTTTTGGTATAAACAAAAAAGCGAGATAGAGTTGTGCCTGTCTAGATTTATCGTTCGAAGGTTGTTCGCATGATGTTGCGCGCCGCCGCGAATTCTCACGATTCTTCGGACGAGTGCGAAGGGAAATAAACACAGATAGAGCGAAGTGGAGTGGTGTGACAATAGCGCGCGTACAACAATGTCGTCGGCGAGTAAAAAGGCCAAGGAGATAGAAGACCCAGGTTCGGGTGAAGGAGTTGAGGTTCGCGACTATGATGTAGAAATACAGAAGACACTCGAAGAAATAGATGGATGTCAGAATCAAATCGATGGCTTGAACGAGAAGGCCAGTGACGAGATTCTCGAAGTCGAGAAAAAGTATAATAAGTTGCGTAAACCTTACTTTCAAAAACGTAATGATATTATCAAAAGGATACCCAATTTTTGGGTAACTGCTGTATCCTTTATAATGTCGATGTTATTTCCAATTACAAATTGATAAAACTCTCGATAGTTTTGACGTTTCCCGGCGATGCCGGCGTCCGCCGGCGCCAGCCGCCATCTTACCCACTTGTGTACCTACAAAAGTGTGTATAACCTGTAGATATAATCAAAACGAACACGTTTACTTCATTTTTTTTTTTTTTTTTTACTATAATTTCAAATTTCCACTTGCTTTCTTACTATCAAGGTTTTATTTATTTGTTTATCTTATAATGATTGCATTTATTTATTACTATGATCTTTCTCTTATATTGTGTTACTATAAGTTTATTGCTATAGATTTTATACTAACTTTTTTATTTCCAAAATGCATATTATTATTCCTTAATTTATAAATAGTTTGTAAACAATAAAGAAATAGCTGAAATATTGGAAGAAGATGAAGAAGATGCATTACGGTTTCTGACCAAGTTAGAAGTCGAGGAGTTCGAAGACATTAAATCTGGTTACAGAATTAATTTTCACTTTGATGCAAATCCATATTTTGAAAATGAAGTTCTTACTAAAGAGTTTCATTTAGGCTCCTCCGGTGAGCACAGTTTTTGATTATTATATTACTATCTAGTTAAGTAAAATGTTATTTAGATATAATGCAATAATATGAAGATTAAGTATCATAGTTGTGATTAATCTCCTGCTGTTTCGCAGGAGATCCAGCATCCCAAAGTACACCTATTCGTTGGAAAGAAGGGTTAGATTTAACGAAACGAGCAAAAACAAAAACACCTTTAAAAGGTCGTAAGAGGCCACTCAAACATAGATCGTTCTTTGATTGGTTCACGGATCATGGGGATCCTAGTTCAGATGAAATAGCTGAATTAATCAAAGATGACATGTGGCCTAATCCGTTGCAGGTATTATGGATATAAATTATAAGTACTATTTTAAAAGATATGTTTATATTTTTCATATAGAAATATTACATTTTGTAATCATTCTTTTTGTAGTATTATCTAGCTTCAGATATTGATATTGAAAATGGTGTTGAGGGTGATGGTGAAGATTGTGAAACAGAAGAAGAGGAAGAAGAAGAGGATGGAGGTGGAGATGATGGCGATGAAGGAGGTGAAGGAGAAGAAGGAGATGATAGTATAGTTGTAGTAGAAGATGATGTAGATGAAGAAGATGAAGAAGAGGAGGCTGTGAATGATGAAGACGATGGTGTAAATGAAGAGGATGACTTGCTTGTAGATGATGAAGCGGATCGTGAAGGTATGATTAATACTAATTGCATCGGTCTTTCACATATACCTATTCATACCGTAATAGATCATTTTGAGTCTTTATGAGTACTTAAAAAAAATATTATGTTTTAGATGGTGATGGAGAAGAACCAGAATAGAATTAAAATGTGGACTCTGTAATCAGCCGCCATTGCTGAAATTGTGAAAGCATCAAGGAACTTGAATCCTCGATTGATCGAGAACAGAGAAAGTTTACCGAACTAAAAACATTGAGCCATATGAATAAATCTTAGGAAAATAATGTTTGAGAATATAAATAGAGAAATGAATTTCGCGCACAAAAGTTCTCTTTGGGTACGTGCGTCAGAGCAATATGGCACTCATAGTAGTGTATCGAAAGTGACTTAGAGATAATGCAATTTGAGTTCCCTCCATGCGCCATGTCAAAACAATGTTGGGTGTTTGGTTCCTAAGCTATATTCATATGGCCTAGTCATTTCCCGAATATTAGATATAAAACAGAGGACACCTGCTTGGGTCTATAATATTACCATTATATTATTAAGTTAGGTTATATATAAAAGGTAAATGAAGACGTCAAGCAGGCGTTCTACTTGTTCTGTTTCCCATCAAAATCTATTTCCTGAACATTACCCTTCAATGAGAGGGACTTCGGGTATCATTTTTGAGAGCGGCGAGAATAAATATAGCTGTAGATGTAAAATGCAATGAAGGTTTTATTTTTTATAAGTTTTCGTAAGAGAAAATAATACTTTTGCATTATTTTTGTTCATCAGTATATATTTGTAACTTTTTTAATACTATATAAACAAAAAGAAAAATATAAAAATAATTGATTTATTAAAAAAATATTTACACTAGCTTACGAATGATAAACAAGATAATATTAAGTTTATAGTTTGTGTGTGTTCTGTTATATAGTCATATATAGAAAATCTAAGCATAGCAAAATCTATATAAAATATAGGTTGGGAATCAAGTGTTACATATACTTTTATTTACTTATTTTTTATTTTTTGTAATATTTTTTTTTTGTAAAATATGCAATAAAGTAAAATATATTGCACTATTTTATTACATGAGATACAAAGGAAGTATTTGAAAACGAAGAGTAAAATCTTCATTGCCATACATCTATCATTTTATTAAAACACGTGTAAAATTTTATTATCCAACCTGATGCTTTTATATCGATCTTCGCGTTATTGGCTCAACTATCACAATTGATATCTCTTTAAAAGCATTATGTTGCATGGACAAATTGTTGGAATAGCCTTGATTATATATTGGTTTTTAAAATGTAAATAGTCTATTCAAACAAAACATCCATTTTTATTCCGACGATTCCATGTAAAGTCTCTAATTTGATATGATCATAAATTGAACATTTTAACTAAGTATGTGCAACATCCCTCGAACCTTGCTATATAATATAAATATAAACTTTTATAAAATATGTTTTTGTCGTTTATTATTCTTTATATTCATTGATTTTATTTGTGTCAGATATTTGATCTTACAATTAATGTCGTAGTTGCTTAAATATATATTCTCCTCTTTTTATCTTTTTTTTTTTAAACGCAAGCAGGCCCCAAACATGTGCCGTTTGGAAGTTGAAACAGAAAAAAAGCACTTCAGGGTTCAAAAACGACGATTAAGGAGACGCTGATGAAGTTTGAAATAAGAAAGATGGCACGCTCCGACTACGAAACATTTCAACTGACACAAATATGGGATAACTTTTTTTTACAATGGAGGACACTATAACCCGGATATTATTCGATCGTTACGGTATCACGCGTATTACGACGACCATACTAATCTCGTTATGTATTTTCATGACGATGATCTTCCTCGTTCTCATCGCGAAGCATCATACCCTCACACATGGCACATGTGACTACATTTCCTATCCCTTACTTTCCCTAACTCATTACGATAAAGACCTTGCGACGAGACTTTATTTTTTTTTTTTTTTTAATTAATCATCATGTAAAAGATGATTACGTAATCCTAACGATAGTCAAGTACATTCGATAGTGAGGTGCTTACTTAATGATATTCCTGATTAACAATGATGAAATATACTTGAAGTATCTACTATCAGCAACAATGACCTTTAACGTCAAATTATACTGATCATTCTCATGGTACAGATATTAAAAAATAGACCAATTATTCTGTTCGTATGATAATAGTAAAAAATAAATACTTATAAATATTAGAATAATATATATATATATATATATATATATCTAAAGAAAATCAATGATTCTATTTGAACGNATATATATATATATATATATATATCTAAAGAAAATCAATGATTCTATTTGAACGCAACACTTTGCTACCAATCTTTTAATGGAACGAGAAAACTGGAAGAAGGACAAGAGTAGAAAGGGTCGAATTAAAAAAGAAGCAAAAGGTTAAAAGGATAAAGAAGAAGAAATGATGCTGATAAAAAAAAAACAAAAATAAGAAAAATTGATAGGAGAAATCTATGGTATGGTACGGTATGGTGTCGAATCTTGTCGAACTCGATGATATAGGGTAAAGTTGCCCTGTTCCTAGCGGGTGGCGCGGAAATTTGCGTGATCAACAAAGCCTAGCATTGTGTGTTAGAGTAAAAAGGAGGAAGTCGCAACAAAAACGGAGCTTTGTGTCGGTCGGCAACGGGAAAGGAGATCACATGCCGCGGAAGATTAAGAAGAAGAAGAAGAAGAAACTACGAGGAGTAGAGCTAGGAAAGACAAGGATAGAACGTTCCTTCGGGTCTATCAGGAATCCTTAGGAATCGTCAAGCGTGCTTTGTGAGAAAGAGAGATGGATTAAAGTCAAATACTTGGGGTGGGGATAATGATGAGAACAGAGAGGGTAGGGAGAGATGGTAAGATCTTTTACGAGGGAGAGACGCGTTATAAAGGTGCGGATGACAAAACCGAAGCAACTGAGATCCGAGAGCTCCAATGCACGTCAAGCGCTCGACCAAAGCGCAGCGCGTTATTATTCTCTTTAAAAAGATTTTTGTCCTCTTCGAGAAAAAGAAAAAAGAAAAAAAAAAGCAAGGGAGGGTAGAATCGATTGATAGATCGTAAGTTTCGTGTTTTCGATAGCACGATCGAAGAACGATGATGATTTTTTTAACGTACGGAAAAGGGGAATCCCAGTACAAGAAGATGACTCGAGAAAATAGTTTTCAACTTTACGGCTGCTTAGTCTTTCTTCTAATCATCCAGCTACTATTATTACCAAGGGAAGGTAATTTTGTTTATTTTTTTGTCCTATTTTTTAAAGAATCAATTTATTTTCTATAATTGTTTTTTTTTATCATACCGGAAGGGTACCTCTTCTAAGAACGTTTCAATGTTAGTGGATGAAACTTGTCTCGATTATGTTTCATTATTATTCTCTCCTTCGCGTTGAACTTCATCGTTTCGTTGAGCCATAGTTGCTGGATAGGCGCGTGCGATTGTCTTAAACGAATTATTCTATTAGCCACCGTGACCTAGCCCTATTTGCTTGCGCGGGCTTTGCTTGTCTCTTCGAATTGATTTCGATCAATGTACAACTGTTAAGCGTGATGCATATCAACGAGACGCTATTCAATCCATCAAAGATCCTATTGAAATTATTTCAGAATATTTTTTTTATATACACCTACATACCACATTTGCAAGTCATACATTTTACAATTAAAAATTGGATTCTACGTATTCTGATATCGTTGATAAGAGAAACCGAAGAAAATAAAGTCTAACATTAAACAATATTACGTTAAATGTTGTACCGATGCAGCTTCTAATCATTCAGTTTTAATTACTTTATGAAATATTATGTTTACTTAACGAGATGATTTCTATGAACCATACTTTTATAACTAGCGCAGTTTCCTTCTTATCGCGTTAATCAAACAATAGTTTTTGTTATTCGCTCTCAATAACTTGTATTTTCGTTCTTTTACCTATTTCCTGTTCGATCTAGATCACGAATAATTCATTGAAGATCGAAAGATAAATAAGATTCAAATGGGAGATAGTTTGCTTTGTTTCGAAATGCATTTTATAAAAAAATAAGAAAAAGTAACATTAACAAAAAATCCGTGACACGATAAAATGATAAACGCGATAAAAGTGAATGGTTAGAACAGTACGATTTACTTCTTCCTTTCAGGGATTATCGTTGATGCTAAAATGGAAGCACGATTTGAAAAATGTTGCGGTCTTGGTACTTCATGGGCAATGGAAAATCTGAAATGTGAAAAATTCACTGGACCGGTCAATGGGGTACCTAGAATTGAACAAGGCCTCTGTTTAGAAACTGTAGATATTTGTTGCGTTAAAACTTACCACGATCAACAATGTGAAAAAGGAAAAGCCGATGCTCGCAATGGTTTAGCTTGCGTTACGAGCAGCAGCGTGAAAATGCCAAGACGAGGAGATTATCATCGCGATTGTTGCGAGGGTTGCAAGCTCGGTACTAAACATTTTTTACAAAATTGACTTCTATGAGAAATCATAGAACATGTTGTTTTATCGATGATATTTTAGGAATACTTACCGGTTCTATGGGCCAAGGTTGCTCGTTCAAAACATTCTCTTTTGGAATCCCATGGGATCCTGCGTTTTTACAATGTTGTTACGAAGCATTACCAAATACTACATTGGCCACAGATGCTTCAGATTCAACATTTTCATCCGATAGTAGCACGGAAACCAACTCTGAAATGTCTTCGCCAAGTACCTCAATGACATCTTCAATTTCGGAATCGTCTCCTTCCTCTTCGTCCTTTTCTTCTTCTCCTTTGTCGACCGATTCGACGACGATTCCTACCCCTCGTAAGTGATAAGATCATATTTAAGAAGTTCGATCAAAATCTTCTTCTCATTGTGATTATGTAAAAAAGAATCCTATTTTCCTATAGCGTTGGATGATATTTGTCAACTGATGAAAGGTCTTCTCTGTACCGACATATGTATACCAACCCCAGAATCTTATTATTGTGCTTGTCGTGAAGGATTTACCCTTTTAGAAGATGGAAAAACTTGTAGACAAGATTTACCAACCGATAGATGCAAATATACAAATCCTTGTGAGCAAAGATGTACGGACACTGGTGTAGCAGTCCGTTGCAGTTGCAATCCTGGATTCGAATTGGCTGATGACAAGCGGTCCTGTATTCCACTATCAACAACGGATAGTACTGAATTGAATGATATCGACGAGGACAACGAATTGTCACCTTTTTGTCCTGCTGGTTATCGTTATGATTCAACTTCACAGGTTTGCAATGGTACGTATTCACGTAGAACTCTCAATAAGTTATTTCAACATTATTAATTGTATGAAAAAGGTAAGAAAATGTAACTATATGACAAATGATGACGATCGTAAGCTTTTGTGTAACGTGAGATGTCAAACTTGCTACCTGCTCTAGCTTTTTTTCTTCTCGATAATTTATTTGCTTATTGTCTTTGTACATAATGCATTTAACTCTTTTTTTTTTTTTAAATCATATTTTTGCGCTTTTGTCTTGATACCATCTTGCGTTTAGATATAAACGAATGTTTGGAAAGAAAGATTCAGTGTCCAGGATTATGCGAAAATACCATAGGATCTTACAGATGTATTACACATGCACAAAAAAGTGCAGCATATGAAGCTTGTCCTCCTGGATATCAGTGGGATGCTAGGACTAAAGTTTGCACAGGTATGCTTTTTTCCATTTCAAATATGTTTCTCTTATGTTAAGCTCAAAACGAATTGATATAACAAGAGTGCATGTGAAACTTCTTCCTTTGTTTGCTTAGAAAAGAAAGAAATTGTTTTCAGATATCGATGAATGTGTCGTATTACCAAATGTTTGCACAGAAGGTACACATTTTTGTGTAAACACGCCAGGTAGTTATTCCTGTCTTAAAATGGTAGGTACGAAATCGTGTCCTGCGGGATTCAAGTTCGACAAGGTATCTCAGATATGCAAAGGTATATTAAATTAATTAAAGGAATCGTCTAATTATGAAGAAACGTTGACTTTGTACAAAAAAACAATTTGGTTTTTTTTTTTAATTAGACGTAGATGAGTGTGCTGAAAGAATACATAGTTGTTTGGAGACAGAAGAATGTAGAAATATTGCCGGAGCTTATGAATGTGATATGAAGTGTCACGAGGGATTTGTTTATAGCATTAGTTTTGGAAGTTGTATTGGTTAGTATAGCAATGTCATTTATTTTTATTGTTTGCGATTAGTATCATCTAATTTTTATCGACTTATTATCTTTCTTTACTGTTTCATAGAATCATGCACGCAATTTCGTTTATTTATTCTTCATATCAGCATGTCGAGTATTTCCATTTGAATTTCGATGCATGCAAGGTAACGATTAATTAAACGTTTAGTTTAACATGATAAATCTAATCAAAATGAATCCTATTATTCTTTTTTTTCCTTTCGAAAATGTTATTACTAATTTTTGGTTTGATATTGAAAAGTTTCATGGTTTCTTATTGTTAAGATTTAAACGAATGCATCGAATCAACTATGCCTTGTCCCGAACCTGGAACACAATGCGTTAATACGATCGGTGGTTATGAATGTAAAAGATCAAACAATTCTATTTCTTTTGGTTCATCGTTAAACAAAACTGTGAGAAACTATGAATGTCCTCCTGGTTTTAAATTATCAAAGAATCTCACGGAAAGTTGCGTGGATATTGACGAATGCAGTGAACAACTTCATATCTGTGAATCTGACGAACGTTGTCTTAATGTAATTGGTAGTTACAGGTATACGATTTATTAACTATATATACATATTTTGATCATTCAAGTGTAAATGAATATTATTGATTTTATTAGATGCGAATTGTTAGTATATACAGACGAGAATTTAAATGACGATCAACAAGAACAGGAACAACAAACCAGAGAGAGAAGTACAATTTTGTATAGCAGGGGCTATAAAACTGGAATGCAAACTACGATGCCTGCTATAGGAAACGTAAATAATTTATCATGTAATTCTGGATATAAGTTTGATGAGCAGATTAGACAGTGCGTTGGTGAGATGTTATGCAATATAATAAAAAAAAAACATTGATTATAAATTGTTCTATTGTATTTGAACATTTTTGTTTCTCGTGTATTTCCATTAGACGTGGATGAATGTGTTAGTGGGACAGCTGTATGCGGTATAGGAGAACGTTGCGTGAATTCCATGGGTACTTACGAATGTTATGCAGCCTGTTTGCCAGGATTTAAGCCCTACGGAGAACCTGGATCTAACAGAAAAGAAGATTGTCGAGACATAGACGAATGTTCACTTGGTTTGCACACTTGCAAGAATTCTCAAGTATGCCGTAATACCAATGGTTCTTACGTTTGTCAAACATTGACTACTACTACTACGAGCACGACAACGATCAGAACAAGTACTGCGGATTGGACTACTTTAAGGACTACGATCAACTCTCGTGCGAATAGGAAACAAGTACATTTCGTTCGCCTGTCACCTGATAAAATCTACATTTATATATTTTTATTTTCTTTTAAAACGTAACGATATCTTCACGTTAGATCAATGATCGTCAGTGGAATGAGGAGTCATGTGGATTGGGATACAGAAGGGATTATGAAACAGGACAATGCATTGATATAGATGAATGTGTAGCAGGACCAGGTTGTCGAGATTACGAACGATGTCATAATACTATTGGTGGTTACGAGTGTTCTCCGCTTTGCAGCACTGGTTGGTACTTCAACCCGACGAAGAAAAGTTGTGAAGACGTTGACGAGTGTTCTTTAGGTAGACACGATTGTCAACGAGTGACCCATCAATGCATCAACACAAATGGTTCCTATCATTGCCAGTTGATACCACCTTGTCAAAATGGATTCAAACGTGAACTTATTAATAATACCTGTGTTGACATTGACGAATGTTCTGAAAATCTTCATAATTGTCGTTTAGAATTTCATCAGTATTGTGTTAACAAAGTAGGCAGTTACGAGTGTCTAACACGTTTGCCTTCCTGTTCATCGGGTTATAAATATTCTTTGCAAAGCAATAGTTGTGAGGACGTAGACGAATGTTTAACTGGTGAACATACCTGTGATAGTAGACTTTCATTAAGATGTGTAAATCTTCCAGGTACTTACAGGTGAGTTATATATATTTTGTGAATTATATCATATATCTTCCTACTAAGAACTTAGTATACTTATTATAATTATTTTTTACATTTTTTTAGATGTGAAGGACTAATGATACCCGAACAACGTCCAACTCAACGACCAGCTTGTCCTTCTGGATTTAGGTATCATCCAAGATTGAAAAAATGCACAGGTATTCGAAAAATATTTATTAAATAGTTGAAAAATCTGTAGTATTTTAATAAACAAATGACATGAATTCAGATAACAGATGATTTACGTATGTATTAATCTTTGTAGAATTCTAACATTTACAGAATTTTGGGAGATATATCATATGATCACAACAATGTATTTTGCAGTTTAATTGTTGGTAATCATTTTGTCTAAACCATAACATTGCAGTCCTAATTCGCACTAATATTATGTATGCATGTTGAAATTCTCGTTTTTCTGAAAATATATTTTTTTAAAGTTCGTTGCATCGTCTAACGTTTTTGTTGCACGTTTAACAATATTGCATTTATTTTTTCCTTCTTTTGCAATCACCCAATAATATCTCTAACAATTTTTATTAGATAGAAATATATATAATATTTGTTTTGGAAACAGACATTGATGAATGTTCCGAAGGACTGGATAGTTGTGGGGAAGAAATTTGTTACAATCAACCAGGGGGTTATAGTTGTGCGAAAGCACCGGTACCAATAACAAGAAGGCCACCTACGACTCCAATGACACCGTCGGCCGATCAAAAATGTTTGAGAGGTACAAAATTTGTAAAAAATCGTGGTTGCGTTGATATCGATGAGTGTCGTGAAATTGAGGATGCCTGTAGTAGCAACGAACAATGTATTAACACTATGGGAAGTTATATTTGTAATTGTAGAACTGGATTCAAACGGGATAATTTTACGCAAGCTTGCATTGATATAAATGAATGTCAATTAAAGGTAAATATTTATAAGTTAGGTAAATACAAAGTAAAAAGTTCATTTATCTAATAATTAGAAACAATGGAATGTATTTTTAATGATGAATTTAAGGAAGATTCTTGTCTACCAACCCAACGCTGTGACAATACTATAGGAAGTTATATTTGTATAAGACATTTACCTTGTGGCACTGGTTATACCTTAAATGCAGCGACTGAAATATGCGAGGACAATGATGAGTGTCTTCTTGGTACACACGATTGCACCGCAGGCTATCACTGTCGAAATACTATCGGTTCTTATCGTTGTGATCGAAATTCACGAGTGACAACTCCTCAGGCACGTCCTCAAATTGCTACGACAACTTCGACGACTACCACGACGACAATGATACCATTTACTGGGACTCCCAATATTCAACAACGTTTTACCTGTCCACAAGGTTTTGAAATATCTGGTGATAAGTGTGTAGATATTAATGAATGTGAAATAATTCAACATCCTTGCAGTAGGGCCAGCCAACGTTGCGTCAATACTATTGGCTCATACAAGTAAAGTTTTATTTTATTTTCAATTATTCACTTTGTTCGATCATTAAATATTAATTATCATTTTAAGATGCATTTCGAGAGTAATATGTGGTAATGGATTTACTTTGGATTCTACGACTGGTCAGCACTGCGTAGACATAGACGAGTGTGCTGATAACAGTCACGAGTGTTCTTCTGAACAAATCTGTGAGAACAGACAAGGTGGATACGTTTGCAAATGTCCACCTGGATATACCGATGGTCCTAATAAGGATTGCGTTGATATCGACGAATGTAGTATTTACGGGAGTGGTATATGCGAAATGAATAGTCGTTGCGAGAACACTGCTGGTTCATATAGATGTATTTGTGATGCAGGATTTGAAAGCATTGGCAATGTAGCTGGTGGAATGTGCCAGGTGATTTTCTTGATCTTTCTTCCATTTTTTTTTTATAATTTATCATGTTTTTACAACGAACGTTAACTTTTCAGGATATCGACGAGTGTCAAAGAACTCCAGGATTATGTCAACATTATTGTAAAAATGTTTGGGGTAGCTATAGATGTGGTTGTAAGCCAGGCTTTAGATTAAACGCAGATAATCGTTCTTGCACCGACATAGACGAATGCGAAGAGTTCAAGGAAAATAATCTTTGCATAGGTATATGCGAAAATACACCAGGTAGCTATAGTTGCAAATGTCCTGATGGTTATAGGCTTGGTTCCGATGGTCGAACATGTCAAGGTAAGAATAAATATAGTGCCTTTTACTTACTTACATGAATAGAACTTCGTATGTGAAACGTAAAGTGTTGTTTCAAGTTTCCAATATGGGATACTTAATGAAAGGCTCGTTGTAAGATGAAACGTGTTGATTAAATCACAGTTAACGAGTTGTCAAATTGTCACGCAAATAAATGTAGACATTTTTTTCAAATATAACGAAGCTTGAAAGTGGTTTTTGTTAGCCACTTAAAAAAAAACCGTTCCTCGACTGCAATTAGGCTTCGCGAATTGTACTTGACCTATAAGCGAAAAAACTGGGGCGTCGTGCGAATTATAAAAGAGAAAAAAAGAACAGAAAGAGTGAACAAGATTTTCCACCCACGCTACTACATTATGCGTCATGCAATCGCGTCACACAATCACGTTGTCGGTCCTTGACGCTTTACTTCCTTTCTTCCCAATCACGTTAATTCATTTTTCTTTTTTTTTTTTTATTATCTTTTCTAGACATTGATGAATGCTCTACTGGACAAGGTTGCAGTGACCCCAACGATACCTGCCAAAATATACGGGGTGGCTTTAAATGTAACAAAATTCATTGTCCTTCAGGATACGTAAAAGATCACGAGAGACGAAAGTAAGAAAAGAAACTTCATTTTCTTTTATTACAATATTTTCAATTGATTAATTCAAATTAATTACTTTATCACAAATTATAATATCACCATATTTGATCTAATATTTTTGGAAAATTTCAAAATATTATTGATAATTCATTAGATATATTATATATATACATATATTGCAAAATAAAAATTATATTTTTCAGTCGCTGCGTTCGTGCATCGAGATTTTGCAAGCACAATGATTATACTTGCTTCCGAATGCCTTCTTATTATTCTTTCAACTACATCACCTTCGTTAGCATGTTTCCAATACCAGACAGTGGCAGTATCGAACTCTTCACTATGCGAGGAACTTACCAACCAGGATCCAATGTACAATTCACTATGGCATTTGTTGATGTACGCGCACCTCCTGGTATTACTCGTGCCACGGAATCTTGCTTTGCACTGAGAAGGCCTTTAATTAATCAAAGCGTTTTAGTGATGACCCAAAGTATTCAAGGACCACAAGAAATCGAACTTGATCTCAGTATGGAGATTTATCACAATTCAATTTTCGTTGGTAGCGCAGTCGCCAAACTTTTTATCTATGTGTCGCAATATGAGTACTGAATGCGTTCAAGATTTTATATTTTCTTTTTTCATATGTTTCCTTTCTTCCATGTTGTTTTATTCGTATACCTACAAACTTTTCAAGAAAAAAGGAAATTTTATTGAAAAGAAAAGAAAAAAAAACACATGAAATTGGTGATATCTATGTAAAAAGAAAAAACCATATAAAGGAGAAAGTAAATAAATAAATAAAATAGGTGATAAAATTAATATCCCAATATATCTTTTCATGTGCTTTATCAAAAATGCAATTTTATTAAAGATTTCCCTTTTCTTCGCTTATGTTAGCCACTTTCTCCACAACGCTCGTTTATGACTCTATTATTTTTATTGCTATAATGAAGGTTATAAATATATCTATATTTATCTTTAAGGTTTTTTTTTTTTTTTTTATATATATATACCACTAAACGAGATTGTAAAAAAGGCTAACGAATCTGAGATCTTAAATATTTCTACGCATCGATGATTGTCTTCCGACATTATGACACGAGAAATGTTCAACCTGAATAGAAAAAGAGAGATATGTCTTAATAAAAAATAAATGTGTATAGTTAATATCACTGCTTTACAATTTACATATCGGACAATCACTGCACCACATATTTCTAATACCATCGAAAATATTTCTATTTTCAAGCTTGCCGATACTAAACAATATTCGCATTGTAACGATAATAATTATACTATTAATAAAAGTACCTATAATTATATCATTTAACAATAATAATAATAATAATAATAATAATGAAGATGATGATGATAATGATAATATTAATAATAATTGAAATTAGAGCAATAATAGCGACGAGTATAATAGTAATCTCAATATTAATAATGTGTAATATTAATGATCGATAATTATGATCACGGTAATTAACAAGAATAATGTACACATAACAATAACTTGATTAATGAATGAGCGTCCAATTTAATGGGCGTATTATGCTACTATGCTATTTGTATAATTTATATCTATTATTATATATAAGTGAAATGTATTAATAGAGAGAAAGAAAAAAGAAAATTATAAAGCATGAAATGTGTTCCTTCTTTAATAACGTTCAACAACGTATTAAGAAATTGAATTAGCGTTAGGACTATTTTTCTATATCCCTTATGATAGGGATAAGATAAACAAAATTCACACACACACATTCATACATACACATACTCTCTCTCTCTCTCTCACACACACACACACAAAACGAAATTTACGTATTATTTGAAAACACGTATTAGAAAATAGTATGTTCGTTTTTTCTTTGCCTATTTAACAGTAATACATATCAATAACGCAAATGATGAAACGTAACATGTATAAGACGCAATAATTAATACAATGATAATAATAATGATGATAGAAAATAAATAATAACTATAATTAACGTAACAGCCTGTAAAATGGATAGCATGATCGCTATCGCGGCATATAACGATGGCAGTGACATCCGTCGTTCTTATTTCTTAAAAAGAACAAAGAAAAATGGGAAATGTAAGAAAAATCTAATGAAATGAAGAACAAACCGAAACAAAGAAAATTACGAGAGTGACTAGGATTATTAACAATAAGAATCTTTAGATTCTTTTGGCACTATAGGCGCCGTCGATTCTAAAGCAAGATTTTCGAATACCGACGATTAATTATATTAGAAGCCGATAATAAAAAGTTTATCAAATAAACACGTATTTATATGTATGTATATGAGGAATGTGCATACATAATAACACATATACGTTTTCGGGACGATGCTATCATATCTCTTGGTTAAATGGTGTCACAAAGAACATAAATATATCATTTTTATATAAAATCTTCCTTCCAATTTAACAAAATTCATTTAATTTCGATGTAAGTATCTAATCTTAAGAATTAATATTTTCAAAATAAACACGATAAATATATATATATATATATATGTATATGAATACGTATACAATTAATTTTGGCGACCAATTCCTAATCCTCGAGGAACAAAATAGAGATCTATGATCATTTGTTAGATATGCAAGCATCATTGAAACATATCTCGAAGTATTTTTGTTCGGCTAAATAATGGAGAGAGACGCGTTTCATTTCTAACATTATTACAATTATCTTAATAGTCTAAGTTAGCTAAAACGATATATATATATTTTTTTTTTATTGAATTTACAAATATCGATGAAAGAAAAGGTTAAGGCTTTTCTCATCGATTTTCTTTTTCAATGTAATCTACGATGTATGGAAAATATCGATTTTTATCGAATAATTTTGTAACTTTGATTCAACTTTGAGAACGATCATTTAAAGAATATATTATTTCGATATTTTTGATGTTTCTCAAGTTGACCTACCTAGTTTCGTTTTTTTACCGAATTTCAATTTAACGTTTTGAAAGGAACGTCGTCGAAGAACACCATTTGGTCAAGCAATCGTGTTATTGTCTAACTCTGCAAATTCTCGTGTCACCTTGCATACGTAATAAAGTCGTTCATAAAGATCAGCAGTACAACCAAAATCGCGAAGATCGTTTAACCAGTAAGACGATACGTGTCTACCGGTGTCGATGTAGGTAATTAGATATCCTTTGCCAGTTTCTTGAGATACTATTATCTTCGTATGATCCACGAAGAAGTTTACTTGGAGTAATGGAACTGTTAATTCCATAACAATTGCCTTATCTGTCCTAAGCCACCGTCTCATACGTGGAACATATGCGTTCTTTGACTGTTTCACCGTTGTCCGATATTTTTTTAATTCACCTCCTAAATTCCAACAACGTGTTAATATAATCCAAATTTTGCAAATCTTATTAATTGTGTCAAAACAAACAAAAATGAGATGACAATTTACCTTCCGTTAAAAATTCGTCCATGTATTGAGTAAAGTGATGAAGTAGCTCAAGTTTTTTCTGCAAAGGCACAGGTATATCCCTTTCTCGGTGATATCTCGTCACTTCATCATCGATAGTCATGTATTCGATTCTTCTGTAAATTCAATGTACTCATATATGTATCATTTTTTTCTATATATAATAGAGTAGTCCTTATTTATAAAGACCACCCTAATATATAATAAAAATACCATAGACTCCCGTATAACGCGGACAATATGTTATACGGTGTACGAAAATAATGTAATACAATTTTGAATTTAATTTTATTCTCGAAATAACTTACAATTAATTCATAAGAGCGTATGTATTAGAAAATCATCTAGTTGTCATCAATCCTTACCTCCTGTCATGAGTATAACTGATCTTGGTATTGTCGTTGAATAAAACACCAACGGATTTATCTGACAGTTGAAAACCTAAGCCATATTTGTTGGAATAATCTATCCACTTTGTAACAAAAAGAGGCACGATATCTTCGACACCAGGTGGATTTTGTTGCAGATTATTACGTTTCATTTCAGAAACAAAATTGTCCAATGCACGATGCATCTGAGCACTTTGAGCAAGTAGACTAGTCTTCTTATTGTCGGGACAAAGTACGCTACTGAGTCGTTGTTTGAACCTGGGTAATTTTGGTAATTTTCGTACAAGCCAATTGGACACTTTCGAATCTTTTTGAATATTTTTTTGAGATCGTTCAAGCAATTGTTGATTTTGTGTTAGTTGCTGTGCGTTTGGCATTGTTGCTCGTTGTTGAGAACGTGGATAAATATCTGGATGGTCTAAATTTTGCCAAACCTACAAAAATAAAAAGCATATTCTATTGATGTTCATCTTAACGACAATACAATTCCCCATGATCGTTTCTAAATCGTTTTTACCTGAGCTTTTCCAAGTTCCTGATTTCTGGAAGCAGTCGAGACCGAAGAAGGTGAAGAAGAAGCTGGTTCGAGTATGGTCGCGTGCGGCATTTGGAAGCAACAAGTGTGCGGTAAGGAGGGTGGTATGTATTCCTTTGTGAGATACGGATGCTCCTTCACCCATTCCGAGGACGGTCGCAGCTCTGGATTCGGTTGTAGTAACCAGTTTATAAGATTCTGACCGTTCCGGCTTGCTATCGAGTCATCGACCTCGCGATAATCATTTTTGCATATTCTGGCATAGGTTTTCTCTAATGTTGCTGTCTCAAAGGGTGGTTGTCCGACTAGTAATGCATAAAGGATACAACCTAACGCCCAAACATCCGCTTCATAGCTGTATGCTTGTTTGTACAACACTTCCGGTGCAATATAGTTCGGTGTACCACATATGGTCCTAAAAGGATTTTTCAATATTTTTCAAGAAATCAAACACAAAGGATAAATTTGAACATTAATACGAACAAATGTTTCGTTTCGTTTAAAGGAATTTTCTTGATGTCAAGTTCACGTTTAAATGAGAAAAAAAATATATAAAAAAAGAGTTGTCTTACACACGTCTACGTTGACCATCAGGCCTTGTAGCCAAGCCAAAGTCTCCAATTTTGACGATCATACGATCTGACAGGAACATGTTGCCTGGCTTCAGATCTCGATGGACGACCTTCTGCGAGTGAATATACGCCACACCGGTTACCATTTGTTTCATGTAATATCGTGCTTCCGGTTCCGTGACTTTACCACGGTACTTCAATACGTGCATTAGGCTCTACCAAAAATAAAACAAAAGAAACGTTTAAGAAAAAAAAAAAGAACCACTAGAATGCATTACAAATATTTTCTCTCGTGACTAAGTTATTTTGTAATTATTAAATGACTTCTCTCTTCTCTGTCATCTGCTTTTCTACCACGAATATTCTTGTTTAATAAAGCGAATAATATTCTGAATGGATAATTAACTTCTCTTATGAATAACGATTACAGAATATTATATTTGTACACTCATCACACAGGTAACATTTAAAGAAAGTTAATAATAGTCTAGGACTATATTGTTATAATGACTATTTTCATGAAAGATTAAAATAATTTTGTGAAAGTTTCATGATGAAGATTTGATGAAACAAATAATTGTATATATATATGTGTGTGTGTATAGATCCCTAGCTGTCGTTTCGTCGCATCCTAACGGTACAAACAAGTCAACAGATCGGCCATGGAGAGTGTAAGTGCCGCTCTCTTTGCCAATCGAACGGAAAAGATGAACCTCAAGGTGGATAGTGTGTGCAACTCAAGTAAGCATAATCCGAAGAATGAACACGTGCAGAATGATCGCGTGCAGACTACCTCTCGGTTGCATATTTGTCCATACCTGGATCGGAAGTCGGCCTGAATTCCACGAATATTTGTCAATTACCTTTACAATATGACACTCTCCATTGTTTTTTTATTTTTCAAAAATAAATATTTCAAAATCTATTTTATATATAATATATATGTATATATTCTTATATATTTTTTTCTTTATTTGATATAATAGATATTAATTAATTTAATTTATAATTAAAATGTAAAATAATTCATTTATTTGATAATAAATATTAATATTAATATTATATTATTATAAATATTAATTTATTAATTAATAATTAATTATCTAATTATATTATTATTATTATTATTGTAATATATAATTA